GAGCTGTGTGTGTGTGTACCATCCAAGATGGCTGCCATAGATTCAGCCAATCAAATTTCCCCTGAGCGCTCTCATTTTCAATTGCGCCCTCAATTTACACAGAAAGTTCAGTACAACTTGTTACCCGTATTTTGAAACTCGAGTGTTGCGGTGTATGGGTGTTATGTACACGATTTTAATTCTTTTTAATATTTGAATAAGATGCTCTACTTGGCCTCTTTTTGGCTACGACATTTTAATAATTTGTCATTATCAATACTAATTATCATTAATGAAATAATATTCAGTCAGAGGGCTTATTTATGGTAATAATATGTATATTATTGTAATATATAACATATATAATATGTAATAATATGTATATTATTATGAAGGTGGCGCTTTCCTACGGCAGCCATCTTGGATGGTACACATGCACAACTCTGCATTGCTCCGCCATCTTGTCAGCACTCTAGTTGTTTAATAGCACTATGACCTATCTCGATCCCGGCTCAGCACCCATATTGACCATGGATTGACCTTGGCGTGACCGAGATTGACAATTCCTCGTTGGCTGTCGACCAATCACAGTCGATGACGCCGTTGCCGTTGAATAAAAAACCTGCGAGTTCTTCATGTGTGTTCAATCAAGACGCAATCATTACTTTTCATAAAAATTAATTCAAATTTTAATTAATAATAATGCGATTGATTTGGAGCGACCAGGAAACTGCTGACCTGGTATATTTGTTCACCATGAAGTGGCAACGCAACTCCCTTACTTGAGCTGATGTCGCCACAATAGTAGTGTACAGTGAAGTTATTGTCCGAGCCAAGCAAACTGACTCCAGGGTACGTACCTGTGTGTACGGTTATGGTGGTGAAGAAATCCCAACATCGGGAGTGCGCATTTTCCTTCCTTTTCGTGTTCGCGGTTTGATTTATGCCTGTTTTCCTCAAGCAAATTTATTCGTGCGAATCGAAAGCGTCGGTTCATGCGCGTTCACATTTCTATTGGAGTTTTTGTGAAGCTAAAAAATGCACAACCAATCAGAGCTCAGGAAGCGTACCGACGCTTTGAATCGCGCGAATAAATTCACCTAGTGGAAAACCAGCTTAATGGCATTTTTTGGGCGCCGACTCACTTCATTTTATTAAACGGCTTGTTTTTACCATGTTGTGCGGCTTTTTTGAATGAACAAATAATCAAATTGTTACAAATAACTTTATGTGTGTTTCAGAATAAAATAACTACTTTGCGTTTAATATATTCAAAGACGAAATAGTAAATTGGGATACAACGTAACACTTCAAACACAGTGATCCTCAATACAACTTACAAGATTTTGGTTTTTGCATCGTTTGGTATTATAAAGTAAAGTTATATTTAGAATACTATACAATAGTTCGTTTATTATGTATCTTTCTTTGATGTGTTCCAAGGACGAAATATATGAAATGAAATTCCAAGGATCATTGTCATCACAATAACGTTTAACGTTGTTATTGGTTTTCAGAAAACATAATTATCGAAACGAATGACATTGAGAAACGGATCATCAGAACACTGTTTGAAGGCAATAATACTAGTGAAATTGGAACTGGAATAAGCAGAGGTAATCAGTAATAAGATTGTAGCAATGCGCTTTAGATTTGCTATCTTTAATGTCTTTAAGTAGGCCTAAATCATTATTTTTTAGGTATATTTAGAGATTATATCTTGTCTAACGGTGAGGATGAGGATAAGATGACGATGATGTATGTATATG